ACACCTTTAACGGAATTATAGACGAGTCCACTGGGGCAAAACTGGACATACGATCGTCCATTCGAGCACATTACGAAACGTCCCACGCATTCTCCAATTTGGTAGTTACCATCTGGCAAGGACGTGCAGTCATAATCTGCAAACAGACCAATAAATGCTGCACTCTCAGCCTGTCAAAGATGCAAACCTGTGAAGTGCGCTGCCTTCAGAAAATCTCTGGAAGTAGTGATCTGAACTTGATGGGAAGCAGGAGGCAGTACGGGTTCTGTACTCTTTGAAGCTATACTGCACATCGATGGCCATTCACATCTGAGGATCTGTTTTTAGAGAGCTTCCTCCGAAAACAAGAAGTTGGTGTACCTGTGCGACTCGAAGGAAAACAGCAATCCAGGGGCGCAATTCATGGTGTAAAGGGCTCCATGCACACAGAAGGAGAACGATGATCTACAGTTTGAATGTTCTAAGGGACCAGAGGCTTTTCCAGCACATAAGTCTTCTGAAAGCAGAGTTGTATATGAGTGTTCCTAAAACGCAAATTGATCACTTCCAACTGCAGTATCCTGATACTGCGCAGAAACCGCTCGAGTGGGCTCAGCTGCAGGCGCTGCTGAGGAGTGGTGCTCCTTCCCACACACATCAGGATAATCGCAGCTGAAAACTTATTGGCTTTTACCTCATTCCAAAACAGTCATAAAGCAAGGTACTGACAGTTTTGCTTTCACGGAATAGACGAGTCCAGCAGGGCACTTTGTGACGAAAGCTATACCAGCCAGGCAGGTGGTAAAGTGTGGCTGGCAATCGAGGTCACTAATCACTCCATCTGGTCGATCCTTACAGGAATTGTCTGTACAGCAGCGATTACAGCAACTCACACATCCATGGAAGAAGGCAAACCTTTGCTGAATTCGGTCTTAGGCGCTGCTAGGGTTATGCTCGAACGCTGTTTGCTTTCCTTGATGCCCGCGCAGCTCTCCACATGTTCGCAGGCGGACTTGTCGGGATTGAAGACCAGCCCATCAGGGCATTTTCCGACGAAGAGCTTGCCATGCACACAATTGTAGAATTCCACAGAGCAAAAGTGTGCAAAATATCCTTCAGCTTCGCATTCTTGAATGATCCCAAATATTCAAATCTGAGGAAACGATGCTACACCACCCACCTGTATCTTCAGGTGTAGAGCTCACAAGTGGCTCATATGCCAATGGACCGCTTACGTTCTTAGGCCTGTGTAGCTGTTTGCAGGTGGAGGGCTCATCACAGACACCAAGTCGTTCAACGAAAACTAGCCCTGCGGGGCAATGCAAGCTGTAGGTCCTGCCTCCAACGCATTGCAAAAACTCGCCAACGCATCCGAGAGAATGCAAGCCATCTGGTTTACCGATGCAATCTAAACGTAATTTCACATCCACATCGCACTCATAAATGAAAAAATAACCGTTTCGTGTAGTCTGTGGGCTATGCAGTGCAGTTGTACCCTTGTCATGTTTCTTTCCAGCTGATTTCTTGTCACAGTCTTTTGAGTAGACACAGCGCTTAGCTTTAGCATCGAAAACCAAGTCCGAAGGGCAGTTCATGGTGTACGCCACTCCGCTAGCGCAAACAACGAAGGATGAACCGCAATGTGATCCAAACGTGCCATCGGGAAGATTTTTGCATTCTGAATATGTTGCTGTTTGAAGCAGCTGGATGACAAAGACTTCTTGCAAAGGATTTCGTATTCTACTTACCGCTCGAGATCCTAGAAGTACTTGGTTCAGCATGAGCAGCAGGCGGAGTGTCTGCAGCAGGCTTGCTCTATGAGGAGAGATGTATGCTATCAGTCCCACAATTGAGCCAGCATACCTTTTTCCCTTCATGACATTTCTCCTTGTGATCGCAGTTCCCTTTAGCGAAGTTGAAGACCAAACCTTCAGGACATGTCATTACTTGCGCAACATCGTGTGAGCACACTACAAATTCCGACGTGCAACCAAGCGAGAAGACTCCAGTCGACTCGGGACAAACTGAAACAGACAGTCTTCAAAGGGTGAACGTAGAGAATATACTTACCAAAGCTGATCTGCGGCTTGGAAGGTGGTGCTGCAGCAGAAGGCGTCTGTTCCTCTTGAGGAGAACAAACTTCAGGGTAGTCACAGTAGTTCATTTCTTGATTGAAGACTAGCGAAGAAGGGCATTTCTGAAACACGCTGCGTAGCAAAAATTCGACGAGTGTTCGCTCTTACCATTCGAGTAGTAACTCCATCACGGCAATGGATAAATTCGGGCGTGCAACCATTAGAATAGTACCCGTCTGGTCGCCCTTTGCAGCTGTGTTCGCTAGAACTACGTTAGTTGAGCTCAAATTCCATGCAAAAATCGAGGTGGAACTGACTCCGCTGATGACGTCAAAGCAACAATAGATTCTTGGGATGGTTTCAGAACAGAATCCGCTTCTGATCTACCACCGCAGTTTTCCGAATAGTCGCAATATCCAGCCTTCTCATCGTAGACCAAACCCGCTGGGCATTGCTGCAAACTAACAGTGCTAGTGTATGATAACATATGTTGAGTAGATCTTACGAAATATGTAGCCTCTCCCTGGAAGCAGTAGACAAATTCGGACGAGCATCCATCAGAGTAGTATCCATCTTCACGATTATAGCAAGGGAGATCTCTAGAAAAGTTTGAAGAACGAAACATGATTAACACAAGACCTTGATAACATACGATGACGATGGTGGAGGAGACCGTTGCGTGGTAGGAGGCTTGTGAACGGCCGCACCGCCGGCTTGACAGCTTTCTGGGTAATCACAGTATCCATTCTTTTCGTTGAATACCAACATTGGCGGGCACTTCTGCAAAGGAAAGCTATCACACCTAATACCATAAAACAAAGCCAACATGGCGTACCATAGCGGTTGCCACACCATCATTACAAATGACGAAGTCATTCGAGCAACCTTTGGAATAATGTCCGTTCGGGCGTCCCGCACAATCCAGAGTACTGGAAAACCATTTCCTTTACGCATACATTCCTAAGTGCATGCTAGTAGTGGAAGACCTGAATACTAACCCAGAAGATGCTTGTGCTTGTTGCTGTGGAGGTATCGTTGGTGCGGGCTGGGTCGGGATTGGCACAACTACGGGGGCACTTTTTTCAGTGCAGTTCTCCATGTAGTCACATAAACCTCTTTCCTCGTTGAAAACCAATGATGCCGGGCATTTCTAAAAAGAAATAGTCTTTTATCTCCCTTAAAGACTCCTAGTCTTTCTAACCATTGCAGTAGCGACTCCGCCATGACAATATACAAAATCGGACGTACATCCATTCGAATAGTACCCGTCACGACGACCTGCACATTCAGCCCTCAAATAGAAGAGACATTATAATTACGCTTTATAGAGGTCATTAACTACCTCGACGTATTCGATGTAAGCACAGGCCGAGCGTGTGTCATTGTCATTGAAGGCGACGAAAGTAACTGAGTATTTTTCAAGCAGTTTTCCAGGTAGTCACAGTAACCATGCCTTTCGTTGAAAACCAATGGTTGTGGGCATTTCTAAAACTTGGCTTGTCAGCAATGATACTTCCAGCTTCGC